GACCGGGGGGGAGGGGGGGGGATGACGCCGAGAGTCTGATGATTAAAATAAGGCAGCGGCTCTGAAATCCGGTCATCTGCAGGAAATCATATAGGTGTGACATAGTGACGTCGCCGCCCGCGGGGTGACAGCTGAGGCGGGTGACAGGTCCTCCTCCGGCACAGCCGGCATAGAAGTGAGTGTTGTCTGTACACAGCAGCCACAGAGCCGTTCAACTGATGTCACTAGACTACAAAATCCTCCATCGTACCCGTCACTACAACACAGGAACCAATCACAGCCGGAGGTCAGAGACTCCTCATACAGAGCAAATACAATGTAACAATAACACTGATGATACAATGTATTTATAAGCCAGACTCCTCCCACATCATTACTCCTGCCGGACACGACCCCTCCTACATCATTACTCCTGCCGGACACGACCCCTCCTACATCATTACTCCTGCCGGACACGACTCCTCCTACTTCATTACTCCTGCTGGACATGACCCCTCCTACATCATTACTCCTGCCGGACATGACTCCTCCTACATCATTACTCCTGCCGGATATGAATCCTCCTACATCATTACTCCTGCCGGACACGACCCCTCCTACATCATTACTCCTGCCGGACATGCCTCCTCCTACATCATTACTCCTGCCGGATATGAATCCTCCTACATCATTACTCCTGCCGGATATGAATCCTCCTACATCATTACTCCTGCCGGATATGAATCCTCCTACATCATTACTCCTGCCGGATATGAATCCTCCTACATCATTACTCCTGCCGGATATGAATCCTCCTACATCATTACTCCTGCCGGATATGAATCCTCCTACATCATTACTCCTGCCGGATATGAATCCTCCTACATCATTACTCCTGCCGGATATGAATCCTCCTACATCATTACTCCTGCCGGATATGAATCCTCCTACATCATTACTCCTGCCGGATATGAATCCTCCTACATCATTACTCCTGCCGGATATGAATCCTCCTACATCATTACTCCTGCCGGATATGAATCCTCCTACATCATTACTCCTGCCGGATATGAATCCTCCTACATCATTACTCCTGCCGGATATGAATCCTCCTACATCATTACTCCTGCCGGATATGAATCCTCCTACATCATTACTCCTGCCGGATATGAATCCTCCTACATCATTACTCCTGCCGGATATGAATCCTCCTACATCATTACTCCTGCCGGATATGAATCCTCCTACATCATTACTCCTGCCGGATATGAATCCTCCTACATCATTACTCCTGCCGGATATGAATCCTCCTACATCATTACTCCTGCCGGATATGAATCCTCCTACATCATTACTCCTGCCGGATATGAATCCTCCTACATCATTACTCCTGCCGGATATGAATCCTCCTACATCATTACTCCTGCCGGATATGAATCCTCCTACATCATTACTCCTGCCGGATATGAATCCTCCTACATCATTACTCCTGCCGGATATGAATCCTCCTACATCATTACTCCTGCCGGATATGAATCCTCCTACATCATTACTCCTGCCGGATATGAATCCTCCTACATCATTACTCCTGCCGGATATGAATCCTCCTACATCATTACTCCTGCCGGATATGAATCCTCCTACATCATTACTCCTGCCGGATATGAATCCTCCTACATCATTACTCCTGCCGGATATGAATCCTCCTACATCATTACTCCTGCCGGATATGAATCCTCCTACATCATTACTCCTGCCGGATATGAATCCTCCTACATCATTACTCCTGCCGGATATGAATCCTCCTACATCATTACTCCTGCCGGATATGAATCCTCCTACATCATTACTCCTGCCGGATATGAATCCTCCTACATCATTACTCCTGCCGGATATGAATCCTCCTACATCATTACTCCTGCCGGATATGAATCCTCCTACATCATTACTCCTGCCGGATATGAATCCTCCTACATCATTACTCCTGCCGGATATGAATCCTCCTACATCATTACTCCTGCCGGATATGAATCCTCCTACATCATTACTCCTGCCGGATATGAATCCTCCTACATCATTACTCCTGCCGGATATGAATCCTCCTACATCATTACTCCTGCCGGATATGAATCCTCCTACATCATTACTCCTGCCGGATATGAATCCTCCTACATCATTACTCCTGCCGGATATGAATCCTCCTACATCATTACTCCTGCCGGATATGAATCCTCCTACATCATTACTCCTGCCGGATATGAATCCTCCTACATCATTACTCCTGCCGGATATGAATCCTCCTACATCATTACTCCTGCCGGATATGAATCCTCCTACATCATTACTCCTGCCGGATATGAATCCTCCTACATCATTACTCCTGCCGGATATGAATCCTCCTACATCATTACTCCTGCCGGATATGAATCCTCCTACATCATTACTCCTGCCGGATATGAATCCTCCTACATCATTACTCCTGCCGGATATGAATCCTCCTACATCATTACTCCTGCCGGATATGAATCCTCCTACATCATTACTCCTGCCGGATATGAATCCTCCTACATCATTACTCCTGCCGGATATGAATCCTCCTACATCATTACTCCTGCCGGATATGAATCCTCCTACATCATTACTCCTGCCGGATATGAATCCTCCTACATCATTACTCCTGCCGGATATGAATCCTCCTACATCATTACTCCTGCCGGATATGAATCCTCCTACATCATTACTCCTGCCGGATATGAATCCTCCTACATCATTACTCCTGCCGGATATGAATCCTCCTACATCATTACTCCTGCCGGATATGAATCCTCCTACATCATTACTCCTGCCGGATATGAATCCTCCTACATCATTACTCCTGCCGGATATGAATCCTCCTACATCATTACTCCTGCCGGATATGAATCCTCCTACATCATTACTCCTGCCGGATATGAATCCTCCTACATCATTACTCCTGCCGGATATGAATCCTCCTACATCATTACTCCTGCCGGATATGAATCCTCCTACATCATTACTCCTGCCGGACATGACTCCTCCTACATCATTACTCCTGCCGGACATGATTCCTCCTACATCATTACTCCTGCCGGACACGACACCTCCTACATCATTACTCCTGCCAGACATGACTCCTACATCATTACTCTGGCCGGATATGACTTCTACTTCATTACTCCTGCTGGACCTGACTCCTACATCATTACTCCTGCCGGGCATGACTCCTCCTACTTCATTACTCCTGCCGGGCATGGCCCCTCCTACATCATTACTCCTGCCGGACATGACTCCTCCTACATCATTACTCCTGCCGGACACGACCCCTCCTACATCATTACTCCTGCCGGACATGACTCCTCCTACATCATTACTCCTGCCGGACACGACTCCTCCTACATCATTACTCCTGCCGGACATGACTCCTCCTACATCATTACTCCTGCCGGACACGACCCCTCCTACATCATTACTCCTGCCGGACATGACTCCGCCTACATCATTACTCCTGCCGGACCTGACTCCTACATCATTACTCCTGCCGGACATGACTCCTCCTACATAATTACTCCTGCCGGACACGACTCTTCCTACATCATTACTCCTGCCGGACATGACTCCTCCTACATCATTACTCCTGCTGGACATGACTCCTCCTACATCATTACTCCTACCGAACATGACTCCTACATCATTACTCCTGCCAGACAAGACTCCTCCTACATCTTTATTTCTGCCGGACATGACTCCTCCTACATCATTACTCCATGGCTCCTGACTGACTCGTTTCACCCTCAGTAGGGCTCTATCATAGTTCATCTCTATGGTTCGGTCACCTCTAGCGGTACAGATGGGATTGGATATATAATCAGCGGTTGCGCTGGGAGTACTCACGTTTTGACGTAGGGATCCGAGAAGCCGTTGACGTCCATGGCGGCGAGGTGAGCGCAGCGTATGATCCCCACCACCAGTCCCCCCCCCTCGGTGCTGTACGTCAGTGACAGGAGGATTCTCCCCCTCTCCTCCAGCTCCCACTCCTGGCAGCGCTCCAACTGTGGACACAAAACAAAAAGTCATTCATTGGATTCTGGTTCTTCCAATCATGGAGGCTCGGCATCACATGTGGGCGTTACCCGGGGGCCGTTTGAGTGCAAATACATCCTCTCTAGAACCGCCCACTCCTCCAGACTGACACCCGCCCATCAAAGCATTTTGATATTTGCATAACTCCTCCCAGGAGCCGTCCCACTGCTTGCATCAGGAATGAGAGGAGAACTGCTGCTCCACTCCCATCCTAAACAGCACAGCTCCACACTAAATGACACTGATTTCTCTTTTTGTAGTAGCGGTCACGTCATGGTCATGTTATGGTCACGTCATGGTCATGTTATGGTCATGTGTAGAGTAGATCAAAGTAGACTGAAACCCAATTACTAAAATCCCGTACAAACGTTAACACGTCATTTATCATTTTTAAATCTACAGCTTTCATTATAAGGATCCCGGGTGATCCCGCCATGGAGGTCCTTGTTCAGGCACTTCCTGTTATAGGGTGACAACGCTCTGTCCCTGTCTCCCCAATGCACTATAGCGTTGTCACGTGCACTTCTGGTGCAGACAATAAGCAGCTGTTCCGATGCGCATTGCACGTGCCTGATCCACCATCATCCAGGGAGTGCATGTAGACAGGATGTGGCTGGAAGAGGATGGAGGAGAGCAGTGGCAGTGAGAAGCAAAAAAAGATTTAAAAAGAAAGAGTACTTTCTAATAGCAACAAGCATGGCAATATTTTTATGGCATGCAGTGCTTTAGTGCTGCAGGTCTCCTCCATCCTCTTTCAGCTACTTCCTGCCTACATGCATTGACTCCAGTGTCAGCTGCACATCATTGCTCTGATGGGAACAACGGTGGTCTGTGCATCGTCTTTCAGCCACTTCCTGTCTACATGCACTGGCTCCAGCGTCGGCTGCATATCATTACTCTGATGGTGACAACGGTGAGCTGTGCCTGTGCTTCTTCTTTCAGCCACTTCCTGTCTACATGCACTCGCTCCAGTGTCAGCTGCACATCATTGCCATGATGGTGACAATGATGGACCATGCCTGTGCATCCTCTTCCAGCTACTTCCTGTCTACGTGCACTCGCTCCAGCATCAGCTGCACATCATTGCTCTGATGGTGACAACGGTGGACCATTAGGGTTGTCACCTTTTTTTCAAGCGAAACCCGAACACTCTAGCGATGCACGGACATTTTTTTTGGAAGAGTGGCTTATTCATATGTAAATATCACAGTTGAGAGTATTTTCAGTGGGGGAAGGGGGGGGGGATATGCAGTAGCCCCTATCCTAATTTTGGTTGCCCCTGTCTGCCTGCCATCTTGTGTCCAGGTTTCTGCTGCCATGAAACCCGGACACGGGTCGATCCTGGACAGGTGGCATCCCTAGGTAGACCATGCCTGTGCATCCTCTTCCAGCCACTTCCTGTCTACATGCACTCCCACCAGCGTCGGCTGCACATTATCGCTCTGATGGTGACTCCGGCAAACCATGCCCGTGCAGTGTGTGTCACCTTGCCCCTGTAGATAGCACAATTGGGAGACAGTTGTCACCCTATAACAGGAAGTGCCCAAAGAAATGCCATCCATAAAAGGGATTCATCATTGCCATATGGATGGCTACTTATGTTCATACTAAGCGCAGATTCCATTCGCCGTAGTCAGATGCGCATTCGCCGTTAGCTGGCAGGACGGAGGTCGCAGACACACGCACATCTACTACAGTGCAGATTGCAGGAAGGCTGCGGATGCTGCAACAGGATGACGGGAGACTGCGCGCGCTGCCAAGGCCGCCTCTGGAAGCGACGCATTATACATTGTGTGTGCTCGGTGCTCAGCCCCCGCAGGCGGGGAGGAGGATGGGGATCACATGTGGGAGAATAGAGAGAAATGTCACAGTGGGGGTGATGCGGGGGATCGGGGAGGTACGCGGGGATCGGGGATCAGAGGGATGAATACATGTGAGGATAATGAGAATGGAGGGAACACAAAGACGGCGGCACAGAGAAAAGAATGGGGGAGGGGAGAGGGGGCCCAGCACATTGTAACATTGTAGCAAGAGCCAGCGCCGCTCTCTCCGGTCTGCTGGTTACAATGTATCCTCTCCCTGCATGGAGGACGCTCGCCGATGAGCACAGGCCACTTCATGTCCTCGCAGGTGACCTTTACGTTCCCATTTTCTGTGGCCGATCATACAAATCAGAGCGGCGAATCAGATATCTGTACCATGGCAACGGTCTACAGTGCTCTTCCTAAATCCTTCACCCCTCAGAAGTCTGCACAGAGGCTGAGATCACATTATAGTCATCCACTGCAGTGCCAGAACTGGACACGAGAGCTCCTCCTCCATATTGTCATTGGAGATGTTGGGAGAGACACTGGGGTTTTTTTTCCCATTAACCTGCCCCAGGGGACACAGGTGTTGCGCGCAGTCTCCTGTACAAATCACTGATAGGCCGAGGCTGTATGCTTGTAGATGCCCATCTGAGCTTTATATGCGGACGTGTCTGCTCCTGCCATCTGCCCCTGTGTGAAGACCGGTCTTGTCTCCGCCCCCTCCTGTAATAAAGACCGGTCACTGCTGCTCTCTCTCCTTGTGCAGGGTGACTGGTCATGTCTCCGCCCCCTTCTGTAATAAAGACCAGTCAGTGCTGCTCTCTCTTCCTGTGCAGGGTGACTGGTCTTGTCTCCGCCCCCTCCTGTAATAAAGACCGGTCACTGCTGCTCTCCTTGTGCAGGGTGACTGGTCTGGTCTCCGCCCCTCCTGTAATAAAGACCGGTATTGCAATACCTCATGGGACATGTAGTTCCACAGCAGCTGGAGTTAGGAGGCTGCCTACCCCTGCTCTAGCAAGCACATCACCCAGGAGGAGAGCGGTACAACTGTCTCACCAGGAATTAGGGACCACGGGGGGAGCGTAACACCAACCGAAATGTATTTCTTGATTTTGATATGCTGTGGAAGGATTTGCTGTCTGTGCCCCCCATTGGGAAAAATTCCTTCCACTTCCTACTGCGGTCACAACTGTAAATGATCCTGATAGCACCGAACCTGACCGAGATTCTAACCCAGTAGTAGGCAACCTCGGCAATCCAGCTTTGGTGGAAGTACAAAGCCCATCATGCCTCTGGGAGTCATGCCTGTGGCTGGCAGAGTCTTGCAGTGCCTCATGGGAATTGTAGTTCCACAACAGCTGGCGTGCTGAGATTGCCCACCCCTGTAGTTGGCTGCTATGGGTGAGCACACAGTACACATTCCTATCATGTGAGCTCCGCATTGTATATCATCGTTGTGTGTTACAGTCAAGCGGAGGATTGTGGAGGTCGCAGGTTGTCTCACCTCTTTGAGGTAACAGGAAATCCCTCGGAGAGCGGCTGACATTGAGGAAGGAGAGGCCAGCTAGGAGAAGAGGAGACAGAAGAGGGATTCAGGAGGACAGTTCTCATGTAAGGCTATAAGCGCTTGTGCGGAGTTGTGTTAGCAGCTGCGGTACGAGCTGTCCTTCCTGGTGGTGCTGAACGTCCCCTTCATTCACTCCCAGCTCTCCCCTCCATAGGAGCTGTCCCTGTGCCGGTGCTGTACGTCCCCTTCATTCATTCCCAGCTCTCCCCTCCATAGGAGCTGTCCCTGTGCTGAACGTCCCCTTCATTCATTCCCAGCTCTCCCCTCCATAGGACCTGTCCCTGTGCCGGTGCTTAACGTCCCCTTCATTCATTCCCAGCTCTCCCCTCCATAGGAACTGTCCCCCCTGGTGGTGCTGAAACCAAGTCTCTGCTGTGTGAGCTGTCCCTGCTATTAAAGCCGACCCCTACTCTGCCTCCAGGAGGCCACTAATCCCTCCTGATGGGAACTTTTCTTTCAGGAGTTGTCGTGTTCATACAGATCACAAGCGTTCCGTGTAATGGCTTGTCCCCAACTCTGACCTACGTCACCATCTAGGCTGCCGGGTAATACTGATCCCGGCTCACCTTTTATGAGCGTCTGGGTCTTAAAAGGGCAGTACAATGGTTCTTGTTTTTAAAGGGACCCTGTTGGGCAGTAACAAAGCCCTAAATGCCTCCACCTCTCTGCAATAGAAGGGGTATTATACTCGGCCCATGTCTCCAACTGCGCCTCCAGCAAAATCATCAGGATTCAACACTTCTGGAGAGGTCACATGGCTGTGCACCCTGCTATGTGCACAGGTATCCCAAACACTGCTGGGTTTTGTATTAAAGTAGGGGTCAGTGGAAGGAACCACAGCAGCTGGTGGGAGAGGGTGGAAGTAAATCGTTCATTGGGAAGTCAAATATTTGCAGTCGCTGGGCAGTGGAGATGCTGCAGCCTTTCCATACATGGGCCACCAAAAAGGTAGGTATATTTTTTCACAAGGGAGCTATTTTGTAAAAACTGCTTTCACATGAATGTTGTTTTTAAACATTTTTCATTTACAGACTTGTAGAGTCTCTCCCTAGTGCCTATCTGTATACCAAGGAGCAAACTAGCATCCCTACTGATCCACTACAAATATAAAAAACAATAAAAAAACAATACATCTTTGTTATATATACTTGTGTATAGCAAAGTTGCTGGCACCTGCAGCTCTTCACCTGCATTCCCTGCAACATATTAGGCTGCGCACTTCTAAACATTTAGCAGGGCAGACTAAAAATGTGCAGTTTTCTCAATAATATAGATCTAACTGAAGAAGCCAAGGGTGCATCAAAGGATAAATTGAGAGATAACCTGACCTCATAGCTTGCAACCTCTAGACCTCCTTCAATTAAGGTGCACTGATTGTCAGCAGTTCACATAAGACTTCCTCTCGCAATTATCAGCTACAGTAGAGGATATTGCTTTAGAGACCAACAAATATGTTGTTGAACAGCAGATGGAATGATTAAGAAGGTCAACTGTAGAATGTGGCTCTTTTATGACCACTCCTGTGGGCAAATATGTGACCCACAACTAAGAGGGATAAGCATTGGGGGCCAGTTGGCCTTTCTTCAAATTGTATCTAAACTCAAGAACAAGAATGTAATATATTGCAGCCACCCGTCCTATGAAGTGTCCTATGTCTTTTCTACAAAAGACAGAAAATACTTGTTGATCCTGCTAGAAATCCAATCTACTTGTTACTTCCTGGAAACTGAATTGAAATCTCAGAACAATTCAGATTTACAGAACAATCCCCCCTTATGTTATGCAGACAGGAAGAAGGGCATGTTTGTAGTCTAAATCAGGATGACACTGCTACTCCCTCATAGATACAGCGGCATGAGGACAATAAGTGTGTTACTTGTGGGAACATTAGGTGAAAACAAAGTAAGAAAAACTGAGAAAAAGAAAACAAATGCTACTACTACATCTAAGGAATGGAAAGCTACAATAAATTACTTATTCATTAATTTAGATACATTTTAAGGAGTTTTACTACCCAGCTAAAGACTGTCCACCTTCCACACCCATGGACATTTTGAATCCAATTCCAGAAAAGTTCAGAAAAAACACAAAAAAAGCTGCAAACATTCATTTATGAAAATGATTGCTCAACATCCTAGACCTTATTATTTTCACTTATTCCATAACGTTTCATATCAGGTTCTATTGATTTCTTGAAATGAATAAAAAGCGTAGCTTAGAGCAAACAGATTTGAGACCTATTATCCTGCTTATACTGAAGGTCTTCCCAGTTATAATACTTAGACGATAGTTCATTTCAAATCATCCACCTATAATTATTTATCTCAATTGAAATCCTTATTGTTTACAATTCAGGGTCAGAGAGGTGCCCTTGTGGACCGATATAGCTGCGTTTACACCGGTGTCAAGCGCTTAAAATGAGTTTGTGTGACCAAGTGCACAATAACCATCGAGCTGTGAAGGCCAGCGGCTGATGACATTCCAGGCATTTTGTGAAGATATATCATATTGTTCTCACATGTTTATTGTCGTCTTGCATTGTCAAGACAGTTCAAAAGTTTGAATTCCAAGTGCAAAGAAAAATATGGATGGTAACACCTCGGAGTTGAGAAGCCATCTTTTGTGCCCGTCTTCTTTCTTTATCATCAGTCTATTTTTCTATAAAACCTTTCACCATTAAGGCATGTGCATGAAAAATATTAACATGCCTTCTTCTAAATGGTTCAGTAATGTGCTGTATTCTATGCGGCATAATATAGACATAACATCAGTGACTAAATCACAAAAAAATAACATTAATTATTCTTTGAGATGTAACATTACAAGCTCCAATATCATGCTTCTTTATGATGAATACAGAGGTCTGAAGAAAAAAAGGCTTCTTTATGATGAGAAGGAAATATATATACACATTTGTAAAAAGGTTAAATGGACCTGTATTTAAATGTTAACATAAAGCTATGTAAACAGTAAAACAACAGTGCTTTAGGGAGCAGGGCGGGAGATTGCAGTCTGAAATCTTGGGATTTGAACCAACAATTGGTGGATATATAAGATGGCTGTGGGAGTACTACAGTATATGTATAGAAAGGTTTGGCTAGGTGTTTAAACCCCCCTTTCAAACTACTGCTTGCTGGCTATGTGCTGCTTGGGAGATCTCTCTGCACTTCCTCTTTAAGACTTAACAGGAAGTGAGAGGGGGTCTCTCCAAGTTGTCACTAGAACAGAATATTTGTCTCCATTGGAAGATTTGCCCTGACCTTTTGCTCTCTTGACAATTATAAAAGTTAGGATTTCCACATACTTACTGTCTTGATGACAATGGACACAAGACGGGGTACAGACCACCACTGAACTAGAGCTGCAACAGTTAATCGATTTAGTCGATTAAAATCGACGATTGAAAACGTTGGCAACGTTTTCGATCGTCGATTCGTCGGCTATCGATTGATTTGCCTGTTCGGGGCTCCACATGCGGCCTGAGCCGCACGTCACACGCTGCTCCCGTTGCGGC